GACTGCAGGATGCTATTTTTGATATGTTGCCAAAGCGCTTCAGGAGAAGAATCTGTAAGTTGGTCTTCAAGCCTAGTTTGAAAGTTAGCCTGAAAGCTGTCCCTCACTGCAGCTACTGGAGATTATTAACATTGAGCCTCCTCCTTGGAATGCTGTCCCTCTTAGGTTTGGGCTTGAGGTGGAAATTAAGTTTGCAACGCACAAGGCAGTGGTCTGTTTGGCATTCTGCACTAGGCATCACTCTGGTCTGGCAGACATCACGAATATTTCTCTGGAGCACTAAAACATAATCAATAAGGTGCCAATGTTTAGATCGAGGATGCATCCAGGTTGTCTTCCAGCTGTCTTTCTGCTGGAAGATAGTGTTGGTGATGGTAAGCTGTTGCTCTGCACACAACTCAGTAGAGTTAGTAAAGAGGTGACCGTTATCATTGCAGCTGCCAACACCGTGCTTGCCTAGTACTCCTTTCCAGGCTTCAAAGTTCTTTCCTACTCGGGCGTTGAAGTCACCAAGGATTATGAACTTATCTTCTACAGGAACCTTTTGAGTGAGGTGACGCAGGTCGGAGTAGAATTTTTCTTTTTCTGCAGGGTCAGCTTGCAGAGTTGGAGCATATATGCTGGAAAGAACAACGTGTTGCTTATTGTGCAGTGGAAGACGTAAGGAGATAATACGATCAGAGTGACCTATCGGCGAATTTTCAAGTTTAGAGGCTATGGAGTTTTTAATCATGAAGCCGACTCCAGAAAGATGACTTTCAGTTGTGGGTTTGCCTGACCAGTAGAGTGTATAGCCAGCACCATGTTCTTTGAGGCTACCTTCCTCATGAAGGCGAACTTCACTGAGAGCAGCGATATCGATGTTAAGTCGTGACAATTCATGGGCAATTAGTGCAGAACAGTGCTCAGGACGCCCACTGTTCGCTGTATCAAGCATAGTTCTGATGTTCCAACATGCAAGTGTCAGTCTGGACACACCTTTGGAGGCAGGTGTATGCCTTTGTCTCTTTGTCTTTAATTGACCGCAATAGAAGATGCCCGCTGGCCGCGGCTAGCCAACCAGGTGGAGGGGGAGATGAGCTTTGGTTAGGCCACCTTTTCTAGGCCTCTCTCCATATGGAGCAAGCAGTGCTGTCCTTGAAAAAGGCTGCTTGGTCATTCAGGATGCTGCTGAACAAGACTGTCATCTCCTGGGTCAGTCTTGAGCGACCAGTGTCCTGAACCGCCTGCATGCAGGGTTGGGTCTGCGACTTCCAGTGCACCTTATCACCTGCTGTTTCATCCCTCGCCTGTCGCTACAGGGCTTTGCAAGTGTGGGTAAACCCTTCGGGCCTGCGCAGTGGATTTATTTTAGGTGAGGCACAGCGTGCACAGAACTGGCCTCACCCTTTACACCTGAGGTTTATCTGCCAGGGCCTAGCGAGCTTGGACGGTGACAGCAAAGTCCTCAGGTCGTAGGTTTAATTAGAGTATCCTTCTCTTAGATGGATGGCCTTACAGGGCTATACGAGCTCCATCTGCCCAGGTTTGAAGTTGGAGTTGTCCTTCTCCTAGGATGATTGCCCGAAGGCTAGTGAGCCCATCCTGCCCATGGACACACTTTGTCTGACCCTTCATTTGAGACCTGACTGGCATGGGAGACCCTACCGGAAGCATAAGCCACCACCAGCATAGCTCCCAACTTCACAAGGGCACGCAAGCTCTTTCCCCACAACAAGGGGGTGTCCGTGAAAGAGAATCATTGCCCAAAAGCTAAGAAAAGCTCAATCACTTCAGCTGATGATAGCAGCCTTCATTTATGAGAATCTGCTCTTTCTAGCCTTTGCAGGGCTGGAGCACTTATTCCCACTATTGTTTCAGTTCCTAAGCTATCTCCTGTCACATTCTCCATAGTAACATAAAAGCTGCTGAACCCACTGACACAATTAATATAAACACAGAGACACAATCTCTTTGTGATGGAGCAATGTCAGACCTCTCATCTTACTTGAAGTCAGGTCAAGTGTCGGGATCACATGATGGACCAGACGTCAATGAACACATGTTGGGGGATGTAATGAGAACCAAGCCATGGCATAGTGACACAGTATCAAATAGGGTCACTTTTTCTGTAGCAAAATACTGTGAGGTCTCTGGCATCTCAGGATCAGGAGCGATTTTGCAGCTTGTTGCAGGTCCCTGATAACAAGGCTCAGTGACAGCAAAACATGAGGCCATGAACATGTCCTAGTGCTGAAGACTGACAATGCAAAATGATAAACTTTCTAAATACAGAGAACAGAATTCAGCTTGTTCTGTTGTACACAGCGCTGAGACTCACACTTAATAACTACACCTTTGTGCAGCTTATCTAAAAATCAGACTAAGCAACAGCAGCCACTTTATTCCCAGTTGCAATTCTGGGGTGATCGGACTGTCTGAACTGACGTTTTAATGTATATAAATACTGGGTAGTTCAATTTTCAGACACATGCACTAACTGGAAGAAACAAAATACTGATGCAGTTGGGCAGTTGTAAATTTTAAAACCCATGTCATAGTAATTTCACATTCTTCTACAACTGCAAGATCAAAACCTCCTTAGACTACCAGGATCAATTATTTTTCCTTAAATAAAGCATTAATCTTAGTTGAAGCTACAGCTTTTGATGACGTCTTATGAGTTCTAACCATTCTTGAGAGAGCTGAGATAATAAAGGGTTACCTAGGAAAAAAGCTTTTGCAAACCCTTAGAGGCACATGAGGAAATAGTTCTCCATGGAGAAGCACATTCCAGGGGGTTAGCCTGAGGTAAAAAGTTACAAAATATCTCTCATGTGGTCTTTGTATAGAAAGTGAAGTCATGCTCCCTAGGCAAAGATTTCTCAGTGTGTAATGAGAGCCGCATTTGATAAAGGCACCTGACACTATCAATGGAGTATTCCTGATTCATTCATGCAATAGAAATTATTCTAAATATGAATATTTTTTTTCCATGGGGCCTCTTCTTATTCAGCACTCATCATCCACTGGACACTTATCTACTGTCTGGAAGCAAGCTTACATTTTCCTGGTTAATCTGGTTTTTGTTTGTGTTTTGTCTGTGGGGGGCTTTTGTTTGTAAAATGGTACTCCTGTGAACAGGTATTTTTGGAGAAGAAACGGGTAATAGTTTCAGGCATGTTACTGTATATAAACAGGACTGATTAAATGTACAAATCATACACTAGGGAGGCAATTTCTCCATAGACAGACATCTATATGCCTTTCTACCACAATTCTCCCCAGAGTTCTCTAAGGTCTTCAGCAGAGATTTATAAGGAGTCCTCTGATGACACCTGTGATTTCCTTCTCTTTCTGTGGTTTTCTTTGGTGTTTCTGCTCTTCCACATACCCCAGCTGCAATCAGACAAGTCCCTCGTGTCTGCACTGGCATTCAGATGGCAGTGGAACTAATTGCTCACGTCATTCAGGCTCACAAACAGTTGTGTTATGGATAGCAGTTTCAGGGCTAAGCAAGCCTGTGCATGTGCTAGCTTCTCCTCTCAGCAGAACAGAGGACAGCCATCATGCCCGTTTGTGGTAATGAGCTTCTTCAACAAACAGCAGATGAGCTTGACTGATTAATTTTTTATTAGATACAGCAAACTGTTCCCAACAGTTGGCACTGCAGGACAGACCGGGTACCTGGCACTTGTGTACAGCAGAAGCAACAAGCAGATCACTGGTATTTAGAGCTGCAATAGATGGCAGTTTGAGATCTCCAGGTATCTTCTGAGCAGCAGTATAAAATTAGACATTCTCTCTGTGCTTCAGAAGTTAGCCCTGGCTGCCAATTCACACTGGTCTGTTGCCTTCATCTTTGAAGACATAGGTGATACCTGGTTACTGTCTGCCCTTCCAGGCAATTACGATGATGACTGATAATGCAGCTATAATGAGATACAATACCAATACTCACTAGCATACTGGCCTATTACACCATACATAGCAAAGTTCAAATCAATATATATTTGGTGAGAAGTTATGTCATCTTATTTCTAACATGACTGTTGTGTAAGCAGCCAGAATAACAGATGGACAAAGGAAAACAAATAGATCAACCCAGTATCTTTTCCCTTTTTTACTGAAGAGAGTGAAATGTCAGCTGTGTGAAGCTTACTGCAAGTTCATTAAATGTAAATTTCTGGCAGATACTCTTCAGATGCTTCCCAAGCTTTTGCATTCCACCCATGCAGAGCCAACATAAGCTGCTGTTAGATGCCAGCAACAGCGTGTGTTTATTTCCTTTCCCCTGTTGTTTGTTCTGTCTGGTATTTCCAAATTTTAAGTTCTCTCTTGACATCCAAGAGTATTAGAACGGTCTTGTGCATACTGCCACCTACTGTGATTAAACAAAACTTGAACTAAAATATGTTAGCTTTTAATGACAGCTTTTTATTAATTATAAAGTGGGACGTTTGCATTCAGGCGTGCTTACCCAAAACCAGAACTTTCGATGGCCTCAGTCTACTCATATATGCTTAAGACCTTAAAGCTCATCCAGTTCCAACCCCCTGCCACAGCCAGGGACACCTTCCACTAGACCCGGTTGCTCCAAGTCCCGTCCAACCTGGCCTTGAACACTGCCAGGGATGGGACAGCCACAGCTTCTCTGGGCAACCTGTGCCAGGGCCTCAGCACCCTCACAATAAAAGTTTCCACCACCGCATGGTTTACTCGCATTACGAACACTTCCGGAGGCTGGAGCAGGCCACACACGCCACGGTGACAGCAGCCGGCGGGCGCAGGCTGGGCACCCGCAAAGTGCGACTGCGGCCACCGCTCCGTTGCCAACTCCATCCGGGTGAGACCGACAGCTCGGTTAGCAGCGGCAGCCGTACCCCGCGGCCCCTCCCGCCCCCAGCCGACGAGCCGCCACAGGCCACACTTCTCCCAGGCTGCGCAGGGGTAACTCTTCAGCCTGGGCTCCTCCCTCGCCGCGGCTGCGCGCTGGGAGCCGGGCTGGGCAGTACTGTGCTGTCCCGCTTCGGGCGGGCTCTACGCGGCTATGCTGCGCACCGGGCTGATTCCCCGCGCCCTGCGCCGCCCTCGCGGGGCCGTGCGGAGCTGCCGCTGCTGCTGCACGGCCCGCAGCTGGGCGGGCGCGGCGGGCGGCGGGTCCCGCCTGAGGGCTGCCCTGGGGCTGCTGCCAGGCCCCGGCCGGCCCGCGGCCGTGGCCGTGCCGCTGTGCGCCCGGGGGCTGCGCTGGGCCGGTAAGCGGCGGGGCTGGGGTGGGTTGGGGCAAGCACCGCTGGGCCTTGCTCCCCCGTGCGCCCCGGTAGGACTCACTGTGTGGTCTCGCAGGCGGGGAGGGAGGGAGGGAGGGAGAGAGAGAGTGACACCCCGGCCGTGGACCGGGACACCAGACTGGCAGTAGCTGCGCTCTCGGTGCCGTATCGGCTTCCTGCCGGAAGGGTGTCAGGTTCGTGAGGGCCTCCTGACTACGGGTGCTGCTTAGTTTCTGTGCCAGTGGTTATGCACAGGGCTTGTAGCAGGGCACCGCATCATTAAAGGCAAAATGCAATGTTCTGGAAAACATAAATAGAAATGTCTTGTCTTTCTTCAGGTAAACTTTATCAACATGTCCCAACAGAGCCCTCCCAAGCCACCTTAGCTAGTGTGGCTCCTGTTTTTGCAGTGGTAAGTATGTGCAGGAGTTTCCACCAGCAAGAGCAGCTTGTGCAAGATGATGGTACTCTTTCTTTAAAGCATCATAGGAGCAGATAGATTTCATCTCTCAGAGGACATCCCTAGTTCTAAATTGTTGGCTTAAGGTATTCTGACTTGACCTGATAGCAGCCTTCCAGTATCGGAAGGGGGCCTACAAGGATTCTGGAGAGAACCTCTTCATCAGGGACTGTGTCAATAGGACAGGGAGTAATTGGTGTATACTTAAAACGGGAAAGTTCAGGTTAGGTATAAATGAAGAAGTTCTTTACGGTGAGGATGGTGAGGTTGCCCAAAGAAGTGGTAAATGCTCCATCCCTGGCAATGTTCAAGGCAAGGACAGAGCCTTGGACAATATGGTTTAGTGTGTGGTGTCCCCCCCCCATGACAGGGGGGATTGGAAGCGTATGATCTTAAGGTCTTTTCCAACCCAGACCATATTGTGATTCCATACAGTGTTGGTCAAGATGTTTTTCTAAGATCCAGTACCTGCTGGAAGTTCTCTTGCTTTAATTGTGAAGGCAGGTCAATTCTTGAAAGTGCTGCAGCCGGAAGCTTTCTTGCTAAGCTTCTCAAGGCTTGCTAATGCCTTCTAGAAATATTATTCCTGGGTTTTCGTGGCTGCAATTCTAAGCAGACAATTTTGGGAAAAACAAGGTCTGTATATTCTTTTTAAACAGTTAATCTGAAAATCATTTGCACACTGCTTGATTGACATTATTAGTGTGTATGAGGGAAGGGAAGGCCTTCTGTTGGAATGAAAAGCAGTCATTCTGCAACAAGGTGCATGCACATACGTCCTTGTGGCCATGTATCCGCCTGTTGCAGCTCTACTGGAATGTGTGCCTAGGTATGTGTAATTCACAGAAAGTTATTTTTAAAGTCAGTAATATGGAATTAAGCTACATGGTTTATGAGCAAAATGGCAAACTTTCTGATTAAGCCTGACATAGCAGTTTTTCCAGTGAAATAATTTTACCCTACGAGATGCAGGTGTTGCATGAAAAATCTCAATGAGAAGTGCTAAGATAAGAAGGATTTAGGTGTAGGTTACTAGCTGAATAGCATATTAATGCAGTACTTGACATGGGCACAAGGCCTAACCACCCAGTTTGTGATGCTTCTCACTTGTAAAATTTTATTTGTAAAATTTTTAGATTGCTGCAAAGGAAGTAGCAAAATTTCTGATCCAGAATGGAAGATGCCCCACTGATCTCTTCTCCCTGGTGTCCAGTGATAGGACATGTGCGAATGGTTCAAAGCTATGCCAGGGTATGTTTAGACTGGACATGAGAAAGCATTTTTTTTTACCAAGAGGGTGTTCAAACACTGAACAGGCTTCCTAGAGACGTGGGCAATGCTCCAAGCCTGTCCATGTAGAAGGGGCATTTAGGTGATGCTCTTAATAGAAGGCTTTAATTTTTGTTCAGCCGTGAAGTGGTCAGGCAGTTGGATTCTGTAATTGTTGCAGGTTCCTTCTCACTGAAATAGTTTATTCTAAGTCTCATCCTCTGTAAATTAGTTTTTCCCCAAGGTTTACATAGGAACATGGTCATATAAATGACACTAGTATTTGGTGTGTGGCAATCTGGTGCAACTTCTTCTCAATTGGGGTGAACTGTGAAGAGAGTGAAGGTTGGTTTTTCTTCATAATGTATATTCCATTTGACTTTAGGCAAGTGCAAACAGTTTTAGTAATTGATTTCTTGACATACAGTAGTTCTGTGAAAAAGATATATTTTTTTTCCACTCCTTTAGGTGAAGCTTGACAAAGAGGGAAATACTACCTATTTTGGTGAGTTTTCATTGCAGTTTTGGATAGTTTTTGTCTTTTTTCCTTGTCCAATACAGAAATTTGCATGAGATAGAAAATTGCATTTGGGATACTTCTCTGTGTGGGATGTTGCAACGTGTTGTTTTGCTACCTTCTATTGGTCTTCATAGCATCTTTATTGTTACAATTTTCACATATTTTAGAGTAATATTTTGAAAATAACATATCTCTATCAGGTGGTCATTTTTACTTTGTCTTTTCCCTTTTTAACAAACACGCAGCTTTCCTCACCTTGTATTTCCTTCGAGACTTCTCAAATCAGTCTCTTGGTTTCTGGCATGAAATTAATTTTCATGGCCAACTTTTTCACTTATATCTGAATTTTTTTTCTCTTCCCACTTAAGATGCAGTCTTATAAACTTTGGATATTGAGGAATCAATGGGAGGAAAACTGTCTTAAAGATAACAGCTTTTTCTTTCCTTCTGTGCGACTTAGTAACACAGTAAAATGTCATTTCAGAGCATACATGCTTGTCCCCTAAATGTCTTAATTTTAAAATATTTTTCTGATAGAAAAGAAGAAAACAGAATTGTACCAGGAATTGGGTCTTCAAGCTCGAGATCTAAGATTCCAACACCTAATGAGCATATCAACTAGGAACAACAGGATCATCTTGAGAATGGAGGTAATATTTTCCCTGCAGTTGAGTGTAAACTTGAACCATGTCTTATCCTTGCACTTGCATTTTTTTGCACAGTTCTTTTAATACCAGTTTTCTATGAGGTGCAGTCCAGCAGTAAATGTGTCTTTGGAGCTCTGCCTAGCAATCAGAGGTGTGGGTTCACCAACAGTACATATTAATGACAGGAGAAACATTACTAACGTTGTCATAGAAGTAAAGGCTTACATGGAGCTTCTGCTCAATCATACCACCACTGGCACAGTGCTGTGTCTGAACCATAGGGAATGTATTAGTTTGCAGTTAGCGTGAGATTCTGTTATTTTTCTGCATGGAAAGACATTTGAAGAATGGCTTTATCAGAGCCTAAATTAACAAATGCGCTACACCGTTACAAAATATCTTGAACGAGGTGGGTTTTCAGACTCTTCTATGTACTGTCTTTTTCAGTTCTTGAAGGCTGTCATAACACCAGAGTTTCTTCTGATACTAGATTATCGTAATTTAAATCTGGAACACTGGCTCTTCAAGGAACTAGCATCTCAGCTGGCTGGGGAAGGTCAGCTGGTTACATATTCCCTGCCCTTCGAATTCCGAGCCATAGAAGCAATCCTGCAATACCGGGTGAGCTGTCTCATTCTTATTTAAACAGTTTTGGAAGCTGTTGCTTCATAGAAAGGACAGTATTGATTTTATTTTTGTGTTACTGTTTATACATACGCATTTGTATATGTATTCTGCACTTACGATAGGAGCTCTTTTTGGTTTGTTTTTTGTTACTTTAGTTTTTATGGGTTTGTGTGTGTATGTGTTACCATTCCCTTGCCAAGAAAGTGCTAATTGGATGTGATGGCTTCACCATCATTTGGACAGTTAAAAACAAGACAGAGTACCTTTCTAGAGACATGCTGTAGCTGAAATGGAAGTCACGCTGAGGTTTTTGGCGTCTTAGGCAGGAGTCAGGTAATGATTTCTAGCTATCCTTAAAAATCCGTGCTTGCTAATACTAATATGACATTTCTAGGCAAATAGTGCTTTAGCTTTATCAGCCTTACTGCTGTGGTTGTCACTGGGTTTCAGTTCAGTGCAAATCTCTATTATAAAATACTGTATTTTGCACTGGCTTTATCTTGTAAGTGGTATCTCTATAGCAAGTATTTCCTGGGCATTGGAGAGCAGATTGTGTTAACTGCCTGTTACTGTCAATTCTGTGTTCAGAGACAGGAGTCAGTAGCCCAAGTCATTCTAAAGGGATTGCTTTAATTCTTATGAAGGATCATGTTGTTACCTAGATCAGCAGACTACAGGGGAGACTTAACACTTTGGAGCCTCAGATCCTTGAGACACTGGAAGCTCTAGTGGACCCCAAGCTTTTGTCTGTGGATAGGAGTAAACTACACATTCTCCTGCAAAATGGCAAGAGGTAAATAAGAGTAAGCCGTGAAGAGCTGAGAAGATGACCATAGAAAATTACGTGCAGAAAAATGGTATCTAATACTAATTTCCTAGATAACTGTAATGTTGGCTTGTGCATCTTATTTCTAAATGTAAAAATTGGTATGGAAGATGAGTGATATGGGGCAAAATAGAAAAAGGGAAGCCTATTCCAAGTTGTCATAAATACAGTTGAGTTTCTTAAATAGCATCTGACAGAACAAAATAATACCTAAGAGAACAAAATAACATCATGAAAATGTTTCCTGTCATGTAAAACAAGATTAGCCTTTGCATCTATGCTTTAGGGTTACTAGTTCTCGTATACTAGTACCTTTCTGTATTAGCCCCTCTGATATATGCTTGCTACATGCTCATAGAGTGCTTGTTTCCTGTAGCTTAGGAATATATCCAGAAAACACACCTGAATCTCTTTCAGTGTGTGTCTGTAGCTCAGTGGTCCCCCGACAGATCACTGCCACTTCTAAAGTGTATGGCCTGTAAGGAATTTTTTGAAGGAGTTCTTAGAACCCTGCAAGGAAGTCTTTCTTCCCTGGACAGTCTTGTCAGGCAAGGGTGCTGGCTGGCAAACTCGGTTAGAGATTACCTTTGTGCACTGGTGCCAGTGAGGATTACTTGACTTTTTTTGCCTTTTCTTTCTTCAGCTTGTCAGAACTGGAAACAGATCTTAAAGTTTTCAAAGAAACAATTCTGGAGATCTTAGATGAAGAAGAGTTAATAGAAGAGCTCTGTCTATCTAAATGGACTGATCCACAAGTATTGTATGTATATTTTGAAGCCACATACTTTTTTAACAGTGTGATTTGTTTTAGAAGAACTTGAACACTAAACTGCGTGTTCCCTGCCAAAAAGCAGAAAGCAAAAGACTTTTATTTTTTAAAGCCCTAATGCTTGCTGCTTCAGAAATCACTGTATTTTCCATTTTGGAGAGGGACTGCATTAGCACTAGTTATATTATGCACTTATAGTTCTTGGCATAACAGGCCAGCTCATCCAGTATGTAACGGGATGGGAGCAGGATGGCAGAAGGAGAAAAGGCAAATGTTAACACTCTGAAGAATTTTGCTCATTTTAAAACTTGTCTTAAATATATCAGACACTGTGCTTCCATTGTTAGACATATTCCGAACACCTTTCTTCTAGCTTTTTGCTTACCAGCAGAACCTGAGGGAAAGAGGCCCTGAAGCAATCTTGTTGTGTTTCTGAAGAGCAGCATTTAAGGAAAGGTGTACAAGCAGAAATAGTCCTATTGCACTCCCTCAAATTCTGGTGAAGGACAGCAGCAGAAGTGCCAGTTGCTTTAACAAAAACTGAAAAGCAAAAAGAGAATGCGTACCAGACCGCAGTATGTTTTGGGCTGAACTGTATTTAAATCTTGGGCATACAGATGTGCTTTAAGTTTAAGTGGATAACAGAAACTGCTTTTCAGTATCCTTTGTGAAGTTGCTGAATGCTACTTTTGTGTAACCACACTGCATGTGGATATTAGCAGTGTTCACACAGTGGCATATGTTTGAAATCAGGAGGTAGTTTCTTGTCCTGCAGAGCTTAGTCTACATGTGCAGCAGAAACTTGGTATTCCAGAGGTGGGACATGTTTAGCATTTCTAGTGTACCTGCTGGAGCAGTGTCAGGAGGGGTCTGAATTCAGGGCTGCTCCCTGAGTCAGCAGCTGGTGTTCATCCTGGTTTTGCTCACAGCCTTCCTCTGGACTTAATGCAAGCTGCTGGCAGCAATCTTGTTGCCTCATGGTAGATAACGTATAGGGAAAATCTAAGAAAGTTACCAAAGTAACCTTACACACTCATGTCAGAAGCCTGAAGTCACCCTTTCTTTCAGACACCATTGCACAAAGGAAGGAGAGGTGGTTGTGGGAGGCTATGGCGTGCTACAGGGTGCAGAGGTGGGCTGTGTACACGTAAACCAGGAAATACTAGCTGTGGCAGCACATCTGCAGGCAGGCAGTGTGTGGACAGCTCGCTTGGCTCCACGATTGATGCAGGTGGTAAGTGGTGTTTGCTGAACTCAGGAAGTCTGAGAAGGTGTGGAGTAACCCAGTGAGGCATATAGGTGGCATCAGTGATCATTTGAAGCAACAATGGTGAACTGAACCCAGAAAGACAAGATGATTTGGGCATTGTATCTTTGTGCGGAGGCATGGCAGACTGTTGAAAGATTTGTGAGACAGATAGAGGCTAGTTAATGAAAGCAAATCAGGTGGCAGAGGCCATATGCCTCGTTTCCCTTTGTATATCCACAGATAAGCCAATGTAAAGATACTCAAGTAAGACCTTGAGCTGAATCTGTAATAGAGCAGATAGTGCTGTAAGACTTTTAAGTCTGCAAGGCCTTTCATCTGCGTGCAGTGAAAACCTCAAGGTCCGAAGGGCTCTAAAGTCAACCTAGCTAACTCAAAGCTTCTGCCCTATAAGGCAGAAACTAGGGGCTCTGTTAAAGCTCCTCAGGGAGCTTATGTGTGTTGATTCTTAAAGCATGTCACTTAGTTTCTTGGAAAACCATTTCAGAGAGAGGTCCCTTTTTAACAGCAATGCAAGGAGGGGATTCTTTAAAAGGTTGAGTCTCTGTAGAAGTGAGGTTATGCTACCAAAGAAAAAAATGATGAAGAATCTTCCTGGCTTTGCTGCCAGTTTCCAGGCTTTTGTGGAACTTGGGTGCCTCAGCTTTCATCTACACAGCAATCCAGTACACCACCAGAAACATACATACCTCTTCCAGAGAAGGCTGCTGCACCAGCAGTTGGACCATGAAATGAGATTAGTCTCTCAGACGGACTTCACCTAGGAGAGCAGCATCTTCCATTTGATGCTCATTCTTCATCTGTTTCATGCTCCAGAAGATGCAGTAATCACTGTGTATAACTGAAACACTTCACAACTAAACTTTCTAAATACACCTCTAAAACATCTGCCTCGCTGTGTAATTGTCTGTTGAGTTTATTCTTTTGACTGTACTGTTACCAGCTTCCACCACTTGAGGGCATCACGAAATTTAAGTATATCCTTTCAAAACTGTCAGCACTTTATAATAGCTTAATAATAATACAAACACGGTAATATAAACTTTATAAATAATATAAAAGTGTAACTTTATAACTTTTTAATACCTGAACATGTAAGATTTGTGGTGCTGTGCATGTTTTGAGCACATCCAATGCTAACTGCTTTACTCAAAATAATCAATTGCCTATGCTGATCAGTTGATATATAGAAAAATGTGTCTTTTATTTGAAGCTGTTTGTATTGATGGAAGTTCCTCACTGAAAAGACTGAATTTTCAGATCTGGTATCTGACAGCACTCTTGTTGGCTATTCCCTTCAACTCTTAATGTGCCTTGTGTTAAAACATCAGTAATACACTTCTATACAATGTGTACCTAACCAGAAATATATAAATTGTTGCTGACAGTGAGGAAAGTGCATCTGGGATTGACCATGCAGAGGAAATGGAGCTGCTGCTGGAGAACTATTACAGACAAGCAGAAGATCTTGCAAATGAAGCTCGTGAACTCAGACTGTTGATTGATGACTCAGAAAGCATAATCTTTATCAACCTAGACAGGTTAGCTACCCTATCTTCTGGATTGCTAACAGCCAGGCAGAATTTAATGCTGCTTAGTCTTTCTGAAATCTGCCTACAAGGATATCTGGGGAGTTCCATCTTCATGGGGGTTTGAATGCACTTGCAGTCACAGCACAAGAAGCTGCATGTGCAGCTTTTCTTGCAAGTGAACTGGATAAAGCAAAGCAACAAGACACCCTAATTTGTATGTATAAAAAGCTCCCTAGCTAGGTAGGCATTGGTTATCCATTGCAGGAGAAACCAAGCTTCCCCTAGATCCTTCTGAGGAGCTACACACTAAAGGGAATCCCTGCAAATTTAGGGGCAAAATAAAACTTTACTCAGGAAAGTTCACTGTTAATTTAGAATTAGAATTTAGAATTAGAAAACCTGAATTATTTAAATCTGGCTGGGTAACACAAGTTGTGTTATTACTCTGTGGGGTGATAACAAGAATGAATAACTTTGGAGTATTTTCTCTCGCTCTGTATGCTACAGTTTTCACTACTAGTCAGCTTTCTTACTGAAAAATAATAATAGCTTGAATTTGTAAGCACCTACCAGTCTGTCTTTGAGGTCTGCATTTAATGCTCAGTCTCCTCTTTACTGGGGAGCTACCTGTATAAGCAATTGGTGGATGCCTCACTGGGTTGTCTAATTGCAGCATGACTTCCTCTTTCTGTTTGGCTTTAGCGCATACGGAATTTGAGAATTTGGGCAGCAAATCAGTTCCTGGGTTCCTCTTACAGATGTTTCTCCCTTTAGCCACCGTAATGTGATGATGAGGCTGAATTTGCAGCTGACCATGGGGACTTTTTCTCTCTCTCTCTTTGGACTCATAGGAGTTGCATTTGGTATGAACTTGGAGTCATCTCTTGAAGAGGTAAGGAACAAGTGTTGCTTTTATCATGGGCCCTACTTTTATAGTGTATTTTCTATTCAGTACAACTTCTTTCCGTAGGTAAAGCTCCAGGTTTATATTAATGTGCAAATATAATTTACTCTGGTGATTCATGTGTTCATACCGTCACTTTTTTTGTAGGTGAATTACTATGTGTGACTATCTCCGCAATTTAGCAGCTTTTTTCTATGTCATGTCTGTGGAAAAGAAACAGGAAGACAAATTTATGGTTGTATAAGGACTGACTGTAAAAGCAGTATTAAGTTGTCTTTAATGATCATCTGTTCTTCTGAAGGGGACCAGCTTTGTCTTCCAGATATAAGGGTACCTGGCAAGTACTCAGGGCATTCCAGCACACCACAGGAAATACTCTGCTGTCAATTACATGTTTACACCTGGAGGGGGTCAGATTTACAATTGCACATGCTATCTTTAAAACAAGCTAACCAAAGCAAAGACTTTCTTTTCAAATCCATTACATAGAAGGGTTAAATTTTCAAACTTCCTGATGAAGGAAGGAAAACTGCATGAGACAGTAACTGGGTGATTCCTAAATAAAATGCTTTGTTATGAAACAGCCTTTTTCCCAAGGTAGGGCTTGGCTGTTGATGGTAGAGTTTACCACTTCCTCCCATGAAGGAGTGGAACTCCGATGGGGAGTGTGAGATTATCTCTGGATAATCCCTTTTCTGAAGAGAGAGTTTTATGACTAATGGTAATGTTCTGTTGGTAGGACCCCAGGATATTTTGGCTGGTGACAGGGATTATGTTTCTGGGAAGTGGTCTGATATGGCGACGCTTGCTTTCCTTCCTTGGGCGGCACCTAGAACCTCCACTACCTCCTCAGGTACGTATGGCTGGCTGGGTTTCTGCTTCACACTCTGCACAGTCCATTTCTAAAGCAGGAAATAAGCCGTTGTAGAGGGGTGTGCTGCAGAGTAGGGGGAATTCAGCTCAGTGTCTGCTCCTAGGCAGAGGAGGAGGTTCTCCCTAGTCGTGCTGAATGAGGTGGGAAGCCCCAGCGCTGGCAAAGGTACACCCGAGCAGTAAGAGATACTGCTCCCTGTTGACAGAAGCAAACCTACAAGCTGTTCCTTGAGACGCACTATTACTTTAACCTGGCAGTCCAAGGGAAACTGAGGCTAATGGTAGAAACAGCCCTAATTTGCCTTCTCACATGACTCTTGATCTGTATTCCCTGTCTTGTGGAAAGAAAGCAAAGATAGATGATAAGGACAGGCACTAGCTGTAGGAACTCTCCAGAGAATGATGCAATTGTTGTGATGTCCTGACTCCCAATCCAAAGTATGCAGTAGCTCCTCACATGCACACCAGCTGTCTTTGCCATCGATGCTGATGACATTTTTAGAACCCCATTTTAGCAAGCTGTATGAAGATTTCCAAGGAGACCATCTTCAGATTAGCAAGATTTTAAATGGGTTGTTTTCCCTGTTGACTACCATTTCCTCCCAAGGCTTTTGGGACTGTGTTGTCCAACTCTGTTCTGCACTCTGTTTGTAACTAGAGTACAATAGACTACTAGTGGTACTCTAGTACAACTAGAGTAGGGAAGTACCAGTGGATTCAAAAGTTAAATTGGTACAAGTGACAAAGGGAGTTACAGATAACTCCCCTTCTTCCCTCCACTCCCTTGCCACTAAGGCAGATAGGAGTTTGTGTGGATTGCTGACTGGGGCTAAAACCAACAGGATTATGCTCAAGTGTTGTTCAAAACCAACTCCAGCACATACTGACTTTGGCTTGGAGAAGTACACTAAAAGGGATTAGGGAAGGGGGAGCTAGAGCCAGTGTTCTGAAAATTAGGAGAAGAAAAATCAGTGTTTGGGCCTCTGTGAGGATGTATTTCCTTCTGCTGCACATAGAACAGCTTCTCATGTAATCACAGGCTGTTTTGTATCATCTTGCCTAGGTTCCTGCAGTTTTGAAAAAATTCCAACCAGCAGCTGGAAGAGTGGACATAAAGAACAACCTTAAAACAGAAACATTTGGGCTGAACAGAAGCACGTTAACAAACCAATAGAACAGCAGGAATGAAGAGACTTTTGTTATTACAAGGTGGACTTTGGACATTTCCATTTGTTCTTCCTTACTGAAAACTGCAAGAATTTGTAAACTTGCTAATTTAATATATTATTTTATGCCAAAAAACTATGGTGAGATTTTAATGCTTACACACAAAAGGAGAAAAACAGCAGGGAAAAGAGAGATATGATTTCACAGTAGGCTCATGTCACACCCTGTGTATGTTCCATTAGTTTTTTATATTGCATACATGTATTTATTTTGGGGGCATTTCTGTCAAATACTTCATGTAATGGCCTTTCTTAGAACAGTACTTTCAGCTTAAAGAATGGCAGCAGCCAGTGTTCATTAATGATTCTTGTTCTGAGCTGCAGATTCAGGAATCTGACTTCCAATGCCAAAGAAAAAAAACACCCCAAAAATGGCCTTTTAAATATTTTTTTTTTGTTTTAAGGCCCTTTTTAATTGCAGAGAACAGATTTTCCAAGCAAAAAGCATACCTGCATCTGTCCTGAAGCATCGCCTCTAGATTGACAGTAACCAAAAATAATGTTTCTGTTATTTCAAGAGAGCAATAAGAGACTTTGAAATGTAGCTACTTATCTTGGGTATTCCTTAACAATTCAGGTGCAAAAGTTTTAGTAACAGGAAAAAGCAGCCTGTTGGCAACACACCCTGGTGCTTGTTCTCTTGATACTAAGTCTGCATGCATTGATACAGGTGCAGTGTAACAGCTTCTCATGCTGGTAGAAAGCACCAGACCAGTTGTTGGTTTCTCCTAAGCTGGGCTCTGCGTTCTCTTCTCTCTCCAAGAAGACAAGACAAAGCATGGACTAGCCTGCACCACAGTAGGAAGCCTTGTGTCCTGTGGTGAACTGAAGGAAGGAGTGAGAGTCTTACGCCCACTACTTGTGTTTTTCTTAGCACTTACCTCTGAACTCTGAGGGTGTAGTTCCCTGCTGGTTTCTCTCAGTCTATAGAGGGAGCTTAAAATCATTCTAAATCAGGTCACAAACTGTGTATTTCTTGAGTTTTTTAACCTCTCTGTAACATACAGTGAGTAGCTCCTTAGGTGCCACCAGATAAATTACTGTATTGGTAGGAATTGAAAAGATGATAGCTGTGAACATTTTCACTCAGGACTAACGAGTCAAAAATGGAAATGAAAAGGTACATAAATCAGAATTATACAGGCCTGTGATCCTAGTTTGGTTAAAATCAGTTTTATGTAATTGTTTTTAAAAGTTGTTCTTGCTCTGTGTGTGACTTCAACTACAGATATAAAAAGGCATGAGAAGGTAAGGAAACTAACGAGGTTTGTAAAGTTTTTGAGGTTTCTAGCTTGGGTTTGGGGGGATTTTTTTCAGCCTTTTTGCTAAGCAGGTAGAGATGTAAGAAACCTTTAAACTGAACAGTCTGGTGGAAGAAACAATGGCTCACATACCTTGGTTGATAAGCCCAGGAAAGCTGAGTGTGTGAAGGGATATGGATGCTGATGTTTTCAACCAAGCTGTAGTTGCATTAGGCCAGTACAGAAATGTGTTGGTGCAGCTGTTCGAGAATCTTTCATGTAAGCTTTCCAAGCTCTGGCTTCTGCGCAGGGAGGCTTCTGTGAATTGTATTGACTCCTTTTCCTGTACCTAACTGACTTAAAGCACAATAAAAGCACTGAGAGAAAGACACATCTTTTAGAAGACTGCCTTTCTCTCTGCAGGCACACACAAATGTGTAATGGTTTTCTGACAATTCAAGCAATCAAAATGCATTCACATGCAATAAAGTTACCATGAGATCACACACAGAAAAAACCAAAACTGATGGAAGCTGTATGTTCAGAATGGAGTTTCTATAGAACATACTGGTTTTGCCAATTTTCATTTTAAAAGAAAAGTCTATTTATTTTCCCCTTACAAATACACTGCTTGTGCAGAGATTTGTAGGCACTCTGCTCCCAGTTCTATCCAGTTACTACTTTCATGAAGTTCACATTTAATTGTTTTGAAAGTGTCCTGCTATTTGGGCAAATAAAGCCTCCAAACAGATGTTGGAACACAATATACATCAAGCTGTTCATCTTCCCCTTTTTTTTTTCTCCTTAAACAACCTCTCTGAGACAATTCCTAAGGTCAGTTGAGATGTATAATCCTGGAGTATAGCCTTTAGAATTCTGTGCTATTCCACTGACATGCATTATTTAAAATAAGAATACTGCTTTATGTTTGTGAAGGAGGCAAGAGAGAAAATACGTGTCAACAGACTAATGGTAATAATAACATCACATCTTGCTGCTCAAGTAGTTTAATAGATAATTGGTGAACACTGTTAAACCCACATCTTACAAAATCAGTATTAATTAGTTGAAGACAATACTGTTACTACTAAAGCTATTAACAATTCTAAGTTACACTGGTCATGGAATTCTACATAAAAACACAAAGGGTGTCAGAACAGTCTCAGCCACGAATGTGAAAGCAAAAGCATTTCCTAAAACTTGGTATGTCTTGCTTGTACTTTTTGCCCTCGGAGATCCCAGATGTTCCACACCCTGAATGCAGACCTCAAGATGTGCTGCTGCTTGGCACCCACCTTTCTATCTGGCTTAGAGCTGCCCCTCCATGCTTAGTATTTTGACAGCAAGTTTTTGACATCTTAGAAATCGCTGTCTTTATACAGTACACAAGGAATTGAAAATGACAGACCTGGGTCAGAGCAATCCCAGGCACAGCTACAGGTTGGGCAGAGAAGAGATTGAGAGCAGCCCTGCAGAGAAGGACTTGGGGGTGCTGGTCGATGAAAAACTTAACATGAGCTGGCTTCAGTGTGCGCTTGCAGCCCAGAAAGCCAACGATATCCTGGGCTGCATCAAAAGGAATGTGACCAGCAGGTCGAAGGAGGTGATCCTGCCCCTTTATTCTGCTCTTGTGAGACCTCACTTGGAGTATTGTGTGCAGTTCTGGTGTCCTCAACATAAAAAGGACATGGAACTGTTGGAACAAGTCCAGAGGAGGGCCACGAGGACGATCAGGGGACTGGAGCACCTCCTGTATGAAGACCCGCTGAGAAAGTTGGGGCTGTTCAGCCTGGAGAAGGCTGTGTGGAGACCTCATAGGACAAGGGGTAATGGGTTCAAACTTAAACAGGGGAAGTTTAGATTGGATATAAGGAGGAAATTCTTTCCTGTTAGGGTGGTGAGGCACTGGAATAGGTTGCCCAGGGAAGTTGTGAATGCTTCATCCCTGGCAGTTTTCAAGGCCAGGTTGGATGAGGCCTTGGGTAATATGGTTTAGAGCGAGGTGTCCCTGCCCATGGCAGGGGGGTTGGAACTTGATGATCTTAAGGTCCTTTCCAACCCTAACGATTCTATGATTCTATGATGTACTATTCTTTCCTGGTTTTGTCAAGAAAACTCTCAAATCTGACCAGTAAAGAATGTGACCACTGAATATTCCTTATACAGCTAAATATTACTATTAAAAAATCTAGCTGCCTGCTCACTTCAGCCTTCAGAAAGTTTTTGGTTCAGCTTGCTTGTTCTAGGTTAAGTGATGCTACTGCTCACAATGGAATTAATTTGTGCTTTTACATGACTGATAAAGCTTTGGTTTGTAAGTCAAACCCCTATGAATACTCATGTTCCCCTTCACTTAAAACCAGTGTCCATCCCTCCCTCCTTCACTTAAAACTACCTAGGACCCTATCTCGCTCTCTGAGATGTTTGGTTTGTATTGGTTAAGGAAGGTATTGCAAATACTACAGATATGCTTCACTAAAAGACCAGATGTGCTCTGGTCTTAAAGGCTACCATGGACTTTCAGAGTGAGTAGATAAAGAGCCTTCCACCAAGGCGTGCTTTTGCTGAACTTCTTTCTGCTGCCACCACCACTTCTTTCTGAAGAGATACAGAACAAGGGTTAGCAAAGTGCAACTGCAGGTACATGGCTGCCTTATGGAAACCAGATTTCTTCCGTATCATTAGTATCCTACAGAAATATGATGAAATGCAAGCACAACCCACCTCATCAGAATAGTGGTTAATAAAATGATCTGGCAAACAGATTATTTCATTTGGGCAACTGGAAGAAGCTAGAACCACTCAGATACATCTCTTGCCAATATAAACTGTTCCTCAGGATTAGGATCAATACAGATGAAGCTTGAGAAGGACTGGATTGGTGCCATAGCAAAAGAACACAATTGCTTGGAAAATGGCCTCATTTGAGCTCAGAAAAAAGCCATCAGTGATGCCTGTGTTTCAGGTGTTGGATTATGCATCCTAACCTACTTTAGAAGCATTCACATTTAGAGGTGGTTTCTCCATTGCATGTTTTAACAGCAAGAAGTCAGACACCAGTTGCTGAAGGCCTATCACACACCTCCATAGCCTGGTCCTGAGGCTTTCTCAGTAATGACAGAGAACCTCACTTCTCACACTGAGACGTTATGTCAGAGAACATCGGACTCCACTCAGCTGAACAAGCACTAAGTAACCTTCAAGCTGAAAAAAAACCATTGCTCAGCGCATCATGCAAACAGGGACTGATTTTTGGTAAAAATAATGGTCATCTGAGGGAAAGAGAAACAAGTACACGGAACATGTCCAGAATCACCTGGGTAAGAACTGGACCTGTCTGTGCTTGGAAATACTTGACACAGGAACAGTGTTCATTGCAAGTGATAGTGAAAACAGCAAGCCTGTAAATATTATGTGGGTTAGTGTCTGGTTTACTCCAGAGCTGAGCATCCACTTTGCATGCAGGTTGGCATGAACAGTAAATCCAGTTGGCACCTACACTTGATTTACTATGCAAACTTTCAACAAACTCCTAAGTAATTCAGATCTCAGGCCATTTTAAAGTGATCTCTTTGAATTCATGTATCAGGTGCCAGAACTGTGGCAACTCCACAGTTCATGCACCTATAAAATGGTTTTAATTATGAGTGCAGAGGTCATTAAAACTTAATTAACTATGTAAAGCTTTAAAGACTTCTGCAAAGGGGTAAGATATATATGTGAGGTGTTGGCTAGTATATGCAAGTGAGGTAGAAAGATGATGATACGAAGCAACCAAAACAAGTAGTTTTTCTCACCTTTCTTTCAGATTTCACAGTGATAACAGAACTCCCAAATCTTGACAGTTCCTGTAAAATAACATTATTTGTTATAATGCTGTTGCTTGTTTGTTTGTTGCAATGGGACTTTTTTGTTTCTCTCAGTAGTGTATTTTCTGGGTATTTACCTCAGGAGAAATCAGGACATACTGTGCCTGAAAAAGAAAAGAGAAAACAAAAAGTCAGTGGAGAGAACCAGACTAGGAGCATAGAACAGTGCAATAACTGTGGTTCCTAAACAACAAAGTAATTCAAGAACAAACAGGAGGAGCTGAATCACACAGATTCATAAAAACATAAATAAATGTTCTGTTTTCTGAAACCGAGTCAGAATCCACTAGATACTTGTATTGGATGTAATGAATCAGCTGTCATTATGAACTTATGCCCCAATTTCTCTTTTATGTTTTCTTACCCAGTCCTCTGGACAGGGAGATACCAGTGATTTGCAGTGGTGTGTCACATTCCCTGAGGATGCCTGCTTTCCGTTGTAAATGTAAACACGGCCT